CCCCCCCCCCCCCCCCCCCAAAGATAGCCACAGACAGACCAACTTTCATCAACTCTTTAATTAACCCCGACAAATCTCAGGACACTCCAAACAGAGATTAGACCATGCTCCGCCTCTTCCAAACTCAATTAATCGTACAACGCCATATGGTCTCTTTCTCTCCTCCTACTCCCTTCCCATTACACGTTCCAAACGATCACTTTCTCATCATCTTAACTTGTAGGTTATGAGAGTGTATTAGCCTGCAACTGTACATAATACGGAGTGAGGTTTTGCATCAATTTTCCAAAAACCCACTTAGGCTTGTTGATATCATACCCTACGCACAATTTTACAAACTTCATTCTGCATAAAACACCACCAACTATTTTTCTTACTGCAATTCCATTACCTCGTTTATTAACAGAATTCTATAAATAACCAATTCTTAAATCCCAATTTTAAATGACACAAACCTAAAAATTACAGAATTTTTTAAAATTTTCTGTGCATACCTGCAAGTACGCAAAAACTTAAAGCTTTTGTGTGATCACAGAGAATCAATAACAGAAAGCAAAGAAGATAAGCCCCAAAACTTGCTTTACAATTAAATTTTTTTGGGTTTTCTCAGAAAACCAAACAGATGATTAGAGGAAATACGTATTCAAACGAAGAGGAGATCTGTTACCGTGTGGGAGGGAAATTTGGGTTCGTAATGATCGAGTTGAATTTTGGGGTATTGAAGTTTTGCGATCATTAACGAGCTTTCATGAGCTTCCATCAAATCATTATCAGATGGAAAACAATTGGCATGAAGTTTTGAGGGTAGACAGAGAGAATTGATCGAAAAATTGGGTCGGGTTTATCGTGTGTTGAGAGCTAGAGGAAATCCACATGGGAAAGAAAACGATTTTTTGTGGAATTCCGATTGCAGTAGGAAGTTAACAAGGTAATCATTGGAGATGAGAGAGAGAGGTGAAAACACTTTGACTAATGCGGACATTCTTCGTATCCGACGGTTGTGATTTATACATATCCGTTAGAAAGAAAATAAAACTAAAAATTAAAGGCTCGAGATCGATTTAACACTAAAAAAATTTCTCTTATATATATATATATATATGATAATATTAGAAATAAAAAATAGTAATATTCAAATAAAAAAAATTATAATTTAAATATAAAAGATAATACCATTTAAACATAAAAAAATAGTAACATTCAATATTAATGTTTTAAAAAAAATAACAATAGTAATATGTTCAGTAAAAATAATTACATATTTAACAAAAACAATAACATGATTAACAAAAATAAAATAAAAAAAGTAACATGTTTAATAAAAACAGTAACATGCTAAAAAAATAGTAATATAGAACATTGAACAAAATTAAAAATAAAAATAGTATCATTCAAATCCATAATTAGAGGAATAATTCTCCAATTATTCAGCATCAAAAAAAGTAACATTGAAAAAATAATAACACATGCTCAATAAAAAATAGTAATTTAAAAAAAAATAAAAACATAGTCAACAAAAAACATAGTAATATTAAACATCAAAAAAATTGAGGATTATTTATAAAAAAAAAAAATTGAGGATCAAACTAATAACATATTGAGCAAGTTTTTCAACTATTTTTTTTTTTAAAAACCAACGACATAAAAGTTTATTATGACTAAAACGCAATATAAAATATGATAATTTTCAATAATGTTCTAAACTCTACTAATTTTGATACTATGATGAAAGAAATAATATATAAGAAGAAAGATTTGTTATACTGAAATGGAGTGACAATCTACTTCTATCGAGATAGAGATAGATTGAGAGAATATAAATATAAATTTATGAGTAAATTAAGGGATAATAATTTATAATTTAAGAAATTAATATAATTGAAGTATTATTATTGATCATAATAATACTGTTAAAAGTATTTTTAGAATTTTACAAAAATGATGGATTTAAGTATTTATTAGTAAGATAAAAAAAGAATTTATCACAAAATAAATTTTTTTGGCCAACTTAAATTATTATAAATTTATTTTAGAGGATTCAGCTCTAATTTTATTTAAAAAAAAAACAGAAAAGAAAAAATAAAGAAAGTAAGATATGATTCTTTGCCCGGCAATGTGGGCCCTAACGGTCCCATGGTCAATTTTCAGATGTGAAAACCTCTCTCTTCAGAACCAACGTGGCGGAAACGGATACTGTGTGCGCACGCATCCCCTTCACGCCTACGCAGTCTACTCTCTCTCTCTCTCTCTCTCTCTCTCTCTCGTAGTGTACACTCCTTCGCTGCTCTTATCTTCACTTCCACGCGTTCCAAAAGATCTACCCCAAACGCTTCTTTCGAATCTTCTATCCATTCTATTGTCGTTCAAACCCTAACCCTCTAACCGATTGTCTCATCTTCGATATCAAAACCCTAATTTACAGTTTTCGAGCTGAAAAATCGAAGCCAAAGCATTCGATCTTTGTTTTTCTACCTTCGAAGATCAGATTTTTCGAATAACGACCCCTACTTTAACAGCCTTTGAGGTTGGCGCTTCGTAAGTGAAAAGTCGTAGTTTCTGAGCTTAAAATTTGAAGCCTAAAAGCTCTGGATTCGCCGATTCCTTTGGGAGGGTCGTCTTTGAGACTGGTATTATATTAGACGGTAACTGATGGAATTTGAAATTCAATTTCAAACGTTAGAGTTTTGAAGCTTTGAACTGGTTTCTTTTCGAAGTTTGATGATTTGAAGCCTTCAATTTTTGAGTGTGTTCGATTGCGGTTATTGATACTTGTGTATTATCTGAGTATTTGAGAGAAAAGAAGTTTTGGGTGTCAACGAAATGTCGGTAGAGAGATCATTTGAAGCATGGGAAGAAGTGCAACGTCACGGCCAAGACTTGGCGGACCGGCTTGCACAGGGTTTCACGGGCTTGATTCAATCTCACATTAGTACCCCATCATTTTCATGGCCCAATCCTCAACCACCAAAGTTTTTTGAAGTCGAATTTCCCACTCAGAGTTTTATGAAAAGGGATTTTGGACTTGCAGTTGATAATTCTGGAATTAATGGGGTTTCGGCGATTTTTGATATTGGGAATAGGATTGGGCAAGCAGGGGTGGACTTCGGGGCTTGTGTGAATGGTGTGGTTCAGCAGTTTTTCAGGAGGTTGCCAGTACCGTTTCGGCAAGATGAGAATGTGGAGGTGTCATTGCGGACAGAGCTAAATTGCCAGAGGATTGACGTGGGTGCTACTGTGCAGGAGGATTTGGGATTATTGGCAGAGCGGTTTAGGGATTGTGGGTTTGCGGAAACTGTCACAGTTTCGGATGGGTCGGTGGAGGAAGAGATTTCTGGGTTTAATTTGAAAACTGCTGGACTTTTCGGTAGTTCACAGGTAAAAATGGTGATTCTAGGTACACAATTCTACGCGTGTCCACATAAAGTGTTATATTACTACATAAACGATCTGATGCTGTTTATTGAAACTGCTGATTGACGCATTCTATGTTGTAGAGATGATAAGATTCTATACACCTTTTATGTGTTTTCCTTGCCATGGGGATGATATATTGGTGAACTAAAATCAGGGGATGAAAATGCTCACACAAAGTAAGTCAGCTTGTTGTGTGCCCCAAGTGATGCATGTCAAGACAAAAGAAAGCTTTCAAGTTTAACCTTACTTAAGTTTTGGGTTGGGTGCAGCTTCGATTGTGTTGGGTAAGTGGGTTGTTTGACACAAAACCTTAGTCATGAAGTTTAAGATATCAATGCATCCAAACCTGAATTTTAAACCCAAAGCATATTTTTCAAATCGAATGTGTCTTGCTCCAAGATTGTAATTTCATCATGGTTTTGGGGTTAATGGGTGAATGTGGAAGACTCTTTCTCTATTTGTATCTACCAAATATAAATGTAGTCACATTGACATTACTTATAGTAATAATTTGACTTAACCCACAGCTGAGATGCTTTTATGGTATAGTATTCCTGCTTTCCAACATAAGAGAAGTGGTTTGTCAAAAAAAAAAAAAATCCTACCTAAAATCTAGAGTGGCAGGTTCTTACGTGGCTGAGTGGCCTGCCCTTTTTTTTGTCTGTTTTGATTTCTTGTACAATTATTGCATTATGGGGATACTAGTATTTCATGAAGCACATTGCGTGAACCAGAGAATTTCTTTATGCTTTGTTGCAGTTCCAGCTTTTAGGTTACTGAAACTTTTTGGATTCCATATGTTAATTGCTTGGATGTTATCAATTGTGATGGCATGCCAAATGTACACTATTAATGGTTATTTTGACCTTTCCCTACTGATAGGGCTTTTGTTGTCTGTATGTAGCTTAGCTAGCCATAGCATACTTTAAATTAGTGTTATTGATTGTTGTGGGTGTACATCTTTTCCACTAACGGCCTGCCCTGTGTATAATAATTTGGGGCCTTTAGCCAACCAGATATTTTCCCCATTGATTGACCTTGGTGTTTGGTTTATCCATGATATGGGTAATAAGGTAGCCATAGCATACTTTAAATTAGTTTTATTGATTGTTGTGGGTGTACATCTTTTCCACTAATGCCCTGCCCTGTATATAATAATTTGGGGCCTTTAGCCAACCAGATATTTTCCCCATTGGTTGACCTTGGTGATTGGTTTATCCATGATATGGGTAATAAGGGAGCAGATTTTGATCTTTGTTCCACTGTTTGGATCTTTTTCCTCTCTTAACTGCTCCTTTGTTTTGTGAACCTTGTTAATGATATGATAGTGCCACATTATAAAGCTCTATGGTTTTCTACCTTGCAGTGTGTTCTATAGGAGGTTGTAATTTTTTAGTTCCTTTGTATCACTGTGTCATAATTAGATGCAAGAGCATTTTTTCTGTTTTTTTCCCTCTAGGTACAGGATCTTCATTATTGTTGTTGTCGCCGTCATCATCTTCTTCTCACCCTCTCTCTTTTTTTGGGGCCGATGGTTGGATGCGTGGAAGGATCCCTGGATAAATATGTTTAAGTGACATTCAAAGCAGCTTACCTGTTGTGATTGAAGTTTGCATGCTTAATTTCATTTAGTTTTTTTCTTAGTGGCCTACTTACTGAATGCAGGGGACCCTTAATGTAACATCGACATATGACAGCAGTACTCGTGATGTGGAAAGTTCTTTGGTTGCAAGGGGAGACTTGTGGAGAGTAGAAGCATCACGTGGCAGTTCAACATCAGGAAATGAGAGTTCCTCTCTCTTTCTTCTTCAGCTTGGCCCAATACTTTTTGTTCGTGATTCCACTCTTCTTTTGCCCGTTCATCTGTCAAAGCAACACTTGCTTTGGTATGGTTATGATAGGAAGGTACAATCATTTTCCATTCTAATATTTATGTATGTTCGCTGAATCTTTTATTGGTGCATATTTGAATGACAGCAGATGGTTAAGCTTATGGACATTCTATGTTGTATTCCGGTGATCATGATTATTTTTTTTTTACTTAAGAGTACATGTTTGGGAGCATAGTTGCGTTCTAAACATAGGGATGATATTACGGTTCACAGTCATACTTGGCAACATCCAGTGTGGGTTTAGGCAATTGTTCTACCTCCCATCTCAGATCATACACGAGTTTAAAAGGTGGAAGGATTAAGATCAAAACAAGGCAATGAAAGGAAAAGGAAAGAGCTGTGTTATTGGACCTTCCTCTGGGTGTTTACATTAGTATTTGAATATTTATCAAGGCCTCGGTTGCATGATTTAAATATATTCACCAAAATGGTCCTCTTTGTCATCCTTGTTTCCCTAATTGCTTAATATGATATGCACTAATCTTTCGTTTTCACTAATTCCAGAATGGAATGCACACTCTGTGTCCAGCTGTTTGGTCGAAGCATAGGAGGTGGCTATTGATGTCGATGATCTGCCTCAACCCTTTGGCCTGTGTAAGTTTGATACATTATCAAATGCATTGAGCTTGTGATTTGCTGATGCTTCCTTCCACTGTTATAATTTTGGGTGTCTTTATTACTAATGTACACATATACAACTTGATTTTGCTTATATGGAAGCTTAAGATGCTCCTCTCTTATCCAAGATAGGTGTAGGGTAATGGGCATCTGGGAAGGTTGAACTTTTCTAAGTTGCCAGTCACCCTACTCTGATGTCAATTAGGATGCAGATATTCCACTTTTGAGGGGTTTTTTTGGGGGGGGGGGGGACTGAAGGCTATAATTTTCCGTAATTAGGAAACTATAACTTTAAAACGCCAGGGATCTTCTATGTATCTAAAAGAACTGAATTCCGCAATACCAGTCCCTTGATCCCTGAACATGTACGGTGCGTTGGCAACATCAGGGATCTTTTATGCATCTAAAAGCATTGATTCTAAAGGAAAATTGTTTTGCATTTTTTTTCAGTAGCCAAATTGGGGATGCCTTCCCTATCAAGAGGTATTATTCACTTATCGAAAAAATGTAGATATACCATTCACTCTTATGAAAGGAGGAATGTTTATCGGTGATCTATCTTCGTTTCTCCCGCTTACTCAGTAGCTCTGTGTTTGTGTATGCTGTTCACACTTGTGCTCCCTTGGCACTAAGACGGTAATTATTTTTAGATTTTTGGACTTTGGACATTCTCTGTTCACATGAACTTTTCTAGGGTGGGCTATGGTAACTTAACTCCATTACCAAGGAAAATTAGACTTCAATCACAGGATGGCTACAAGGTTCTTAGTGTGCTTTATTTTTAATTTGATGTTTTACTTAAGAGTCAATGACTTTATGGCTTCGTTTTCATAGATCTATTTGTGAGTGCTAATATTTTGGGTTGTTAAAGATTCTGTTCCTTCTCATTTAGGCATCATCTGCTACAGCTAAAATTTTCAAATAATAGTAGACTTCTTGGGGTGGATTGTCTTGCACTAACTACCACCCTTCCCACCTCTTCCCACAATCCCCAGTCGTTCATGGATTTGCAGTTTCCAAATGGTCAACTCACATATGTATCTGGTGAGGGCTTATCCACCAGTGCTTTCCTACCTCTTTGTGGTGGTCTGCTTCAAGCTCAGGGTCAATATCCTGGAGAGATGAGGGTCAGTTTCTCCTGCAAGGTGAGCCATCAAGATTGTAAATTGTCATCTGCCTCTTATCTTATTCTGTTCAAGTTCCAAAATCTACTTATTTACATGTGTATCACAGTCCCCAAGTCAACTTCCCAAATACATGGAACTATATTCTAAGGGTATATGTCTGTGCAGAATAAGCGGGGAACACGCATCACACCAACAGTACAATGGCCTGACAAATCGTTAACATTAGCTTTGGCCCAAGCTTTGGCTTGGAAGAGATCTGGTCTTCTGCTGAGGCCAACAATCCAATTCAGGTAAGCAGTTTGCTTTGTTTCTTGCATTATTTGTACATATTCCGTGGGTGAATGACCTGTTGGGAGTCGCCCTAAATTTTCTATTATAGTTAGTGTAAAATGAATGAGATTATGCCTGATGCCAGATTCTGCAGGTTACTTGTTCTGCTTTTCTTTCTTTGGCTTCAAATTACCATTTATGTGCTTTGCCAAATGAAGTATTCTTCCTAGAAATGCTCAATACCCTCCCACCCGTACAGCATACCCAAAGACACAAAAGCAAAATGATTCCTCCCTTTCCTCAACTCTCCTCCCATTTCAACTGTGTTGCCCGATGGTTCTTAGTTCCACTTGAAGCCAGACTCATGAGACCAGTGGCTGCCCAGAAATGGATAGGCACACTGTCTGGTTTCAAGTCCTAAAAGACCTGCCAATAAAAAAAGAGCAATGCTATAGGGACCTTATTTGGAGACCTAATTTGGGGACCTAATGATGTGGCTTCAATGCAACCATTGGATTAGTTGTGAGTTCCAATGTTAAATGGAGCCCACAACCAATCCAATAGTTGTATTGAATTAGGTCCAAATAGCATTTTCCATAAAAATATAATGTCCAAGTGCACTTGCTGTATCTTTAAAACATACCTATGCCATTGCATGGAGGAATATTGCACTATGCTTATTTTTCCTTTTCTAGTCAAACACAATCAATCCTTTCATCTGCTACATGGCGCTCATATATTTATCTCCTGGTTTATGTTTGTATCCTGAACACAGTTTATGCCCCACATTTGGTGGAAGCAATCCTGGGTTGCGGGCAGAACTTATAAATACCGTGAAGGAGGACGTGAGTCTTATCTGCGGTTGTGCATTAGAGACACATCCTTCTGCATTTGCTTCACTATCTGTAAGTTTCTCCTTTACGAGATTGTATTGTGTCCAAAATAATTGGATCTGCCCATATGGCGTTTCGATCCTCTGATGATACGGTGGAGTAATCAAAGCAGGGCTGTATACCACGGTTGGTTGGAATACTAGTATGTGATCTGAACTTCAGGGAGTGTGCTTAGGAATGCTGAATCCCCATTGTAGAGCAGACTTGATTCAATTTGTTTTGGCTTTCTGGTACCCTATCAAATGCTCGATGCTTCCTTTCTGCATTGGAGCCAGTTCTTGGAGAGCATTTACCCCACATATGGATTTGACATATTTTCCTGTCTGATTGTCTTGAAACACTTTTAATTACTAATACACTGTGCATTGACCAACCATGCTAAACTTTGTTCAAATGGTTCTTCTAAATAAGGGAAGTAAGGATCTCATTGAAGTAGAAATGAAGAATCAGAAATAACATTACTGACGGGGGGATGTTACTGATCAAAGAAAATTTTGTCACTTAGAAAAAAATCATGTTATTTATGAGCTTTACCTGTTATTGCACCTCACTTTTGTTTGCCATTGCTTAGTTGTAGTACTTTCTTTCATACTGCCTTACAAATGTAACATCGATTAGCTAATTTCGTGTTGTTTACACGTTAACTCCTTTCTCCTGCAGCTTGGCCGGTCAAAGTGGAATGGGAATGTTGGGAGCTCAGGGTTAGTCGTAAAGGTTGAGACTCCTCTTGGAAATGTTGGCTGGCCTTCCTTATCTGTTCAGTTGAATAGTGGTATTGAGTTTTGAGCATTGCATGATGAAATGTGCAGTTAACTGTATATAGTTTGGAATTTTGTACACATACTATAATTAATCCATATGTGAATATTCTGACAGTTTTTCAAATGAATGATAAACAGACGTGCAAAAATGATATAAATGACTCTTAATCTTGTGTCATGACAACAGTCTCTGAGCTTGAAGCGAATCGTAAACTTGTGTCATAGGTTTGACTCTTGTTAGTGTCTCCCTGATTTTAACTAACGTGTGGTTAGCGAGTGATTGCAGGGTATCCTAGGTTTATTATGCATGGTTCTATGCACTGCAATTTAGTGTTTTGCTTCTCCTTTTGGGTACATGGTAGTTACATGGAACATAAAATGGCAATGAAAATGGAGATGTTCAAAACCTTGAAAATGGAAGAGTAGGATTGGAAGGATGTGATTCTCTTTCCATGCATGTGATAAGGATTGATGTATGTTGATTATATGTTGATGCAACAGAAAGCAGCAAATAGAGTGTATTTCCACACAAACAGGATTCTCAGAATACCTTCATCAAAATTGGTATCAAAAAAGTAGTACAATGTGCAATGTTACCCTTACCCTTCCATGCTGAGAAGTTTTCGCAACTCCAACATTTGGCACTTAAGCTCACAATGTAGAAACTTTACTGCTGTGCATTGACACACACCCTCACTTTCATCAATGCTAAAGAATGCCAAATAAGATCTTCTGTAAAAGAGAAAATCTTTTGAACTGTTTAACTATCCTTACAAAATGAGTTGACACATTTAACTAACTAGGCTAGTTAGCCACCCGTACCAACCAGAAGGACAAAGGTTAATTCCCACTCTCTCTCTCTCTCACTCTCAGTTGTAGTCTTATTTGTCCCTCTCTTTGAGATTTTATTATGCTTTTATTTCTGATTGTGATTTATTCAGATTTTATTATAATAATGATATATGAGATATTTCATAGCGATCAATTGTTAAAAAAAGATGACACCGTTGTGGGATTTTAATATGATCAAATGTATATTGTCTTACCTCTGCAAACAAAAAAGATTGAGAGACTGTTTTTACGACTCGAACCTTTAATTTTACCAATACGTCAAGACCCCACCCTTAATCAATCCTTACATTTATAAAAAAAAATGGGTAGACACGTTGTGAAATATTGGATCTACCAAACCATAGAAAAGTCTAAATTTCATGTGTGTGTGTGTGTGTGAATACTCAAATAGGAGGTAGAAATAAGTGAAAATTGAGGGTTAGTCGCTCTAAATAAACTTATAATGACCTGAGTTCTAGAAGAAAATTTATTTGGAGGTAAGTTCATGTTTAAACTTAAATGTAGGTATTTAAATCCACTTATTTTTTAAATCTCAAAATTATTCTTAATGATGTTAGTTTTGTCTAAGTTATGGAAAGTCACATACGTTAGATCATTAAGGTATATATGGAAACTGTTTATTAAATATTATGATAATTAATGGAAGTTATATATTCTGATAGTTATATATGTAAACTTGATGTACGAATAAATCGTTGGTCTATTAAGTCAATATCAGATCACAAAATTTCCTTAACATTAGTGTTACTATAGTGACATGAATGAGATTATTTTCCTTAAAATACTCAATACTCAAAATAAAGAATTTTACCATTTCAAATAGTAACACAAACTCACCTCCAATTTTGATTTTACTCTTCAAGTTTACTGTGGAATCCATTAACAAAGTTATAGTTAATTCGTTACATTCAAAATATCTTCACAACTTTGAGATTCAGAAATCGAGTTAAGGTATATGATTTTACATGAAAGTTAATGTTCATTGTACGGTTTTAAAAAACTTCTACATAATCTATAGTTCAAAATGTCTATTTTTTTTTTTTGCATTCTTAATTTAAAAATTGAGATTAATTATTACTAAATTAAAGTGTTATATAATTTGATTTTGTTGTTTTCTTTGCTGTGCAAGACATTCAAAATACATTAGTTGTGTGTCTGTGAAATAGATCATATTACTGTGTGATAACTGAAAAATGAATTTCAGAATTTCGATAACTTGATGTTTTTTATTGGTGTTGAGTGTCATAATTCAACTGTCAACGGTGTATTACTGCTATAAACTATTGAAAATTGATGTTACTGTGAAAACTCTATTGTCTTGTATTTTGTAAAAGTCAATGCATTACTAAGCACAAACCTTTGATGTTACTATAAAAATTAAATGTGTATGTTATATAATATACGTCCAAAGGTTTGCAATTGATAGTGTAAATGAAAATTGAGGTTGGATTTGTATTGCTATTTGAAATGGTGAAATTCTTCATTTTGGATATTGGGCATTTTGAGGAAAACAATCTCATTCGTGTCATTATAGTAACATTCGTGTCACTATAGTAACACTAATATTAAGGAAATTTTGAATTGTTAAGAAAATTTTGTGATTTGATTTTGACTTAATAGACCATCGATTTATTCGTACATCAAACTTTCATATATAACTTCCATATAAAACTTCCGTTAATTATCATAATAATTAATAAACAGTTTCCATATATAACTCAATCAAGAGTTTTCATATATACCTCAATAATTTAACCTATGTGAAGAATTTAACCTATGTGAAGAAGACAGTAAGTCAGACTTCGGTTATTACTTTTTCAAAGAGTAGGGGTACAATATTAAACTTGACAAAAAATAAATTTAAAACCAAATTAGTTTCCTTACCGGACTTATCTCTAAATAAGTCTATATAGGGGACCGGCCTCCAAATTTCCCTAAAAATAAAACAAAATAGGAATTTTAATTCACAAGGTTTTGTACTTTGAGGCCCAAACTGAGTAGACTCTGGTTTATTTCCACACATTTACATGGAGAAGAGCAAAACATCCATTATATATATATATGTGTGTGTGTGTGTATATGTTTGCTCTACAAACATTTTTATTGTTACCATTCATACTCAAAAGTGGTTGCTAGACGTAAATTACAGTCCCATACCTATAAAATTGGAAAAAATCACTTATTGAGCCCCCAACTTTATTTTTATCCTCCTGATATTGTCCCTCATATGTTTTTATTCAGGGATATTTTATACTGTTGAGAATCTGTTTTAGTGCCAGTAACCCTTAGCCTTCCTCTTGGAAGAACAATAGGCCTGCAGAAGATTAGAACAACCAGTAACTCAGTCAAGAATGAGATAATACTGATCCATACAAAGATTGTTCTCCTCCAGTCCCATATAATCCTCTTAACTTGAGGAAGTTCTGATTCAAGGCTAAGCGACGCAGAATAGATTTCGGGTAAACCAGCACCAGATTGGTATTCTGCTCTTTGTTCAAGGACCACCTTCAAGAATGTAGTTGGCTCATACCCTTCAGTGAAATCGCCAAATTTAATGTCCAAATGTTGGACTTCTGATTGAAATCCAGCAACGAGAGGAACACCCTTGACAATGGTTTCAACATAACGGATGGGTTGGCTCTTGAATCTTAGCATGCATGGACTGCTTGAACTGGCAGTTGTTTTACCATTTGCAGCCAGGAAGTCCACCCTCACCTTCAAACGCCAAAAATCACGAGGGAGCCATAAGCGTTTGCTTAGCAATTAGATGTCAAATTGTGACAGTTTTGAATGGTTGAACCATATATTTTGAGGCCAATTCTTCAAATATTACTCAAAGGAGGAGGGGGTTGGGGGTGAAAATGTGTATTTTCACAAAAGATTGTGCAATAAAACAACAGTTTTGGACTGTTGAAACACATTTCACAAAAGATGTGCAAAGAAAAGAATAACACTGGCTATGGAAGTGCTACAATTCTATCTGTCAACCGATGCAGAAGCATACCTGGAAGACACCAAGTTTCAGGTTGTAGTCTGATTCAGGCAGGGCTAATGTGACAGTAAGCTTCAATTTGTGATTGTAAGGAATGACACGATTGCCAACATGTTCTTCACCATTTTCACTGTTTTTGGGCATCAAGCTAGAAGAAATTCCAAACCTGTGAGAGGACATTATGGGAACAAAAGCAACTGGAGTAGTTTTCGTATAGTCAAAATTCAAGTTCTCTGTTGCCTGAATTGGCTCTTCCACTAAACGTTTCATCGCGAAACTGCCAATAACAAATCCTGACACAAGCAAACCAACTAACAAAAACCACACATAGGTTGCCCAGAAAAGTCCCCAACCGAACCTTACCACCAAATTCAACATGGATTTCTGAGCCTTGAATCGATTACATATAAAAGATGTAACCATGAAGCAAATGTCACCCCCCAATCCTAACATTTTTTGGGTTAAATGCTTTCTAATTCGCGATAGAGTTTGAAATGGAAACAGAAACAACATTAATGAAAAGTACGCGAACCAGATGGGAAATAGTATGAAAAATCTAACAAGTAAATTGATTTGAAACCCAACCAACTTGAGCATAAGTACTACCAAAAAAGCTAGAACATTGAAAGGAAATTCATCACAGCTTGTTGAAGAACAATTCACCATTGTTGAGGTATTATCCACATAGTTCTCATTGAAATCCATTGATTGAAGCAGAGGCTGATCAGATTTTCCACATATCATCTCATTTCCTTTCAATTCATCAATACTATCTTCCCCATTAACCCCAGAAAGATTTGAATCGAAGCGTCCATGGACCAATTGTGATTGCCTCCTTAGGCCATACAATTCAGCTGATGGGCCTAGAAATTTTCGAGCCATTAATACCTTCTCAACTGCAAGTAGGAGACAGAATTTCATCAAGTTAACGAAAAATTGTGGTGATTTCAGATTATTTTTACGATCAAAATCGAGAAATTTATGATTGCCTTTGAACAACCCACGATTCTCACCCATATTGTGAATGCTCTCATGAATTTNCCAGGAAGTCCACCCTCACCTTCAAACGCCAAAAATCACGAGGGAGCCATAAGCGTTTGCTTAGCAATTAGATGTCAAATTGTGACAGTTTTGAATGGTTGAACCATATATTTTGAGGCCAATTCTTCAAATATTACTCAAAGGAGGAGGGGGTTGGGGGTGAAAATGTGTATTTTCACAAAAGATTGTGCAATAAAACAACAGTTTTGGACTGTTGAAACACATTTCACAAAAGATGTGCAAAGAAAAGAATAACACTGGCTATGGAAGTGCTACAATTCTATCTGTCAACCGATGCAGAAGCATACCTGGAAGACACCAAGTTTCAGGTTGTAGTCTGATTCAGGCAGGGCTAATGTGACAGTAAGCTTCAATTTGTGATTGTAAGGAATGACACGATTGCCAACATGTTCTTCACCATTTTCACTGTTTTTGGGCATCAAGCTAGAAGAAATTCCAAACCTGTGAGAGGACATTATGGGAACAAAAGCAACTGGAGTAGTTTTCGTATAGTCAAAATTCAAGTTCTCTGTTGCCTGAATTGGCTCTTCCACTAAACGTTTCATCGCGAAACTGCCAATAACAAATCCTGACACAAGCAAACCAACTAACAAAAACCACACATAGGTTGCCCAGAAAAGTCCCCAACCGAACCTTACCACCAAATTCAACATGGATTTCTGAGCCTTGAATCGATTACATATAAAAGATGTAACCATGAAGCAAATGTCACCCCCCAATCCTAACATTTTTTGGGTTAAATGCTTTCTAATTCGCGATAGAGTTTGAAATGGAAACAGAAACAACATTAATGAAAAGTACGCGAACCAGATGGGAAATAGTATGAAAAATCTAACAAGTAAATTGATTTGAAACCCAACCAACTTGAGCATAAGTACTACCAAAAAAGCTAGAACATTGAAAGGAAATTCATCACAGCTTGTTGAAGAACAATTCACCATTGTTGAGGTATTATCCACATAGTTCTCATTGAAATCCATTGATTGAAGCAGAGGCTGATCAGATTTTCCACATATCATCTCATTTCCTTTCAATTCATCAATACTATCTTCCCCATTAACCCCAGAAAGATTTGAATCGAAGCGTCCATGGACCAATTGTGATTGCCTCCTTAGGCCATACAATTCAGCTGATGGGCCTAGAAATTTTCGAGCCATTAATACCTTCTCAACTGCAAGTAGGAGACAGAATTTCATCAAGTTAACGAAAAATTGTGGTGATTTCAGATTATTTTTACGATCAAAATCGAGAAATTTATGATTGCCTTTGAACAACCCACGATTCTCACCCATATTGTGAATGCTCTCATGAATTTCAGAGTCACCCATTGTCGATGTTTGCAAGGTTCTGTTTTGGGGGGGGGGGGGTAAAGAGCAATGGAACAGTGGAGGAGAGAGAGAGACAGAGAGAAGACAAAAGGGACTCGTGTGGAGGTTAATATCAACGGTAATGGACACTTTATAGTTTATAGAGGGTAATTGCTGATATGGCACAACCGTCATTTCTTGGGATGCGGAAATAATGGACGGTTCCGATTTGTTGGGAAATCAACCAATAGGCAGGTTCGATGTTTCATCACACGGTTGGGATTGTCTGATGGATTTTTCGTCGTCAGAGGTTCAAGATAAGTTGCAGTGTGACACCCATCTCAACAATGCCTGCTGTTTTTCTTATCCCACTCCCCCCACATAAGGCGCATGATATACATTGGTGTTGTGTTCGTTTGACGTATAATGGGGTTACCAGACTGTGGGATATTATAAAATACTACTTAAGTTTGTTTATTATTCAATGATAATCATGTGGTCAAAGATAACCCAATATAGCCTCAACATCAGAATTATATGAACAAGCTTTGAACATATCATCCTGAATTTGGTGTAGTTGAATTTGGCACACATATCCAGAAGTAACAAAATTTTAGTCTTATCATCCGAGTTGGAGGTCTAGTGATAAGTCGTATCTGTTTTGGATTATCCTTAACTCCCATGTAATTATCAAATAGAATTCAATTCATGAGAGCAACCCGATTTGTTGTTTAACTTTAATGGTGTTGTAGTGACAAACTATTTTTCCTGACTTAGTAATTATGACTCAAATCGAAAATTCTACAATGGAAAATCTAGGATCAAGTACCCTGGTCACCCCTCCCCTTTTTCAAGAGCCAAAAAAAAAAATCATCCCCTGCAGTCCAGAGTAGAACATGTATGCCCATACCCAAATGTTCTTTTAAAATTAGATGTGCAGACAACATATAAATGTGTACACCCTTCTGTATAACAATTACAATCGGACTGCAGAGCCAAATGATAGACTTTATTGTTTCACCTTTTCCAAGACAGCATGATTGAGCCAGTTTCTATTTTACAGGACTTGATCATTCTTTTTCCTTGGTGTGCATTACTCTAATTTAGACCAGAAACAAACATATTTTTGTAGAATTTCCAACAATATGAAAAAAATATTGAGACGGAATATGAATGAAAGATAGAAGCATTTGATTGGGCTTTAGAGATAATTATCAAAAGAGCTTACCGAATATACCATCTACCTCAGACAACCTGACTGGAAAAACAGTAATAGGCGAGCAAAAATTAAATACCAATGAAGGACAATTTTGAATACAAGTGTTGTAATGTCGTACCAAATATACAAATATACAAGCCTTTCTGCCTTTAACGAGTTCATCAAGAGAGAAATGATTCGCCTATTTTGAAGAGACTGCTTCCCGGAACTCAAACATATTTTTCAACCATTTAACGTAATATTTTACACATAGAACTGAAATAATCTTTGGTAAAAACAAGTGCATAAATGCCAGCAGCGACCTTATTACACAAAAACATGTGAACAAATAGGAAAAACATTTTGCATATACCCCATTCTATGACCTCTGAATCCTAAACTAGAACTATAAATATCATTTACAAAAGCATCCCCAATATTTATATAATGATAAATTAAAAGATTTGACAATTATGTATCGGGTGTTCATTATTCAGTCTAATTTTACATCATACAGATCAGGAAGAAGCTTGTTTGCTGATGAACTGTCTCCGGTCTCATCTTTAGTATTGATAGAAATTGAGGAATCAATCCATGGCCCATCCATTGATGTGCTCCTTGGCACCTGACTGTCGTGAGAGAATGTGGACACGCGTGTTTGGCTGTCCTGTGATAGCTTCTCGAAAGCTTTGAACCTCAAATCATCATTGAAGGCACTGCGCTTGATTAGTGGCGCTTGGATTGGACTTTTGCCTTCAAGCATACTCACCACAGAAGACATGGATGGCCTGAGGGTAGGAGATGGGTTGGTGCATAAAAGACTCAAGTTTAACATCCTCATTGCCTCTTCTTGGGAGTAGTTCGAACCAAGACTTGGATCCACAAGTTCTAACAGATTTCCTTGCTCTTGTAGGACATATGCCTACATGTCCATGCAGGAGAAAGTAAGACAAAAAAAAAAAGGAAAAACATCTACTATCTCATGCATCTGCCACGAAAAAGTTAAAAGCATTTAAACAACACAAGTATGTGGATACAAAAAGGAACGTATATTCAAAATATATCCAAAACTGAATGAAAGGGAATCACCTTATATCACTTACTAGTGTTTTTAATTTTCAACGAAATATATGGTTTGTAGGTGAAATAAGAAACTTCATTATGAAGATTTGACCCATGGTCCCTGGGGCTCAAGCAAATTGGCTCTCAAACTACTGCATCTAATGAGTTCGTTTTTTTGCATGTGTTATATTGAATAGAAATGATGCGTTTTCAACTTTTCTTCTACTCAAATCTCCCCAGGAGGGAAAAGGGAAGAAAAGAAGAGTCTAATACACAATTCACAAGCTGCCATTCAAAGGATTTTATGGGCAAAAAAGTCATCTTAGGCATCTTACTATTTCTGAAAATGAATAGTAAACAGGTTGAAGTTCACTTCTTTTCCTTGGCCAATTCTATTGTGAGGGATGTATTATGCCATTCCCATGCTATTTTAGAGCAGTCATATTCGAAAAACAGAAATTGCTAAGCCCATTTAAAGTCTCAAGAAAGAGTATTACCCAATCGAGAAGGTAAACAAACTCCTCCTTTGGTCTGTAATTTGTGTTGCTTTTACCACTGACAATCTCCAGCGCAACAACTCCAAAGCTGTAAACATCTGCTTTGTCTGTCAAGTAACCCCTCATTGCATATTCAGGAGCCATATATCCTCTGCAAAATATAAATCAGAAGGTACTACAGTAGTAAGAATTATGCCAGTAACAAAGCCGAGCTCAACTCTGTCATACTCCGAACTACTAGTTATAACAAAGCCTTTTACTAATGCTTGAAACATGCATCCGTAAAGGGAATCATTGCATAAGAAAAATAAATCTCTTGTTTAGTTTGAATAGTGTGAAATTAAGCATGGAATAGACAATCTGAACAAGCACCGAGATGAATGAAAATTAACAAATCCCTGACACAAAGAAGAAAAGATTTTGTGCTTTTGACAAAAGAATACAACCAATAACATGATCTTTGTCCCTACGCATAAAGTTATTATTAATACAATTGGAAGTGCCGCATGTAGCGATATGCTGGTAGATAGGTAGTTGATGAAGTATTAGCATAATTTGAGATAAGTAAGGTGCTTACAAAGTGCTAGGAATTTATTTTAACGTCATTCTATTATTTTGTATTTATTGCACTTATTATTTTGGGATTCTCTTTGATTTTAGTAGTATTAATCTCCTCATCTCATAGTAAAATATAATAGGAGTCTTGATTTAGGTTTTTGGTATTTCCCATGAATAGGGGCTGATGTGACTGTTATTGGATATTTGATCGATTGAATTATCAAGTATTGCTTATTCTCCCATTTCTTCTCAATTATCATATTTTTCTTACTTCTTCCCACTTCTTTCTTCCCAGTCTGCATCAGACATCCAAGTAAAAGAACAACGCACAATAAGACCTACTTAGCACAGAGACACTTTTTTTTTTTTAGCAGAGACACTTCGAGATGGAAAATCTGAGTAAATTTTTTTTTTTACACTATCAGCACATGTAAATTTTTTATATGAATGTGAATGACATAGGGATAGATACACAATTTGGTTGATTTATTCAAAAATCTACAGTAAAATAGTAAAATATCAAAGGTGAAGCTGAACAAATTCAAACATATATTGCAAATGTCCTCATATTATCTCCTTCTCTACACCGATTCATATGATTGATGATTCTAGAGCTTATATCGGTATGTGAGATTATTCTAGAAGAGCCAGATGAGTGCCTTTTCCACCAGTGTTAGACATTACGGCACCTTGAAAGAACTGTAGAATAAGATGAACAAAACCAATTTTTTTTCAGTTTTAAAGAACTGTACGTGCTAGAAACAAAGTCCTAGTGTGGAAAATACTTTTAACAATTATGTAATTCATATCAGCTCTAAAGTTTTGCAAAAAATTGTGTTGTTTGGGATCAGCATCTAATCTTTTGTACCCAGAGTTTCATCATGGAACACAACTTAGGTAATTAATAACGATAAGGCTGTACACACCACGATTAGCCAAGAAGAGGAAACAGATTTACAATAGAAAAGTCATCTTAAAAACAAATAATAACTTTCAAATCTGATTAGAAAGTAGCAGTGTGACTCATTAATTAATTGTGTTTTTCCGAGGAAGCAATTTGCATCCCGTGGATAAATTTTTTCTCTTAGTTAAGACCATCTGTTATGTTTTCTGACTGACAAGGAATCTTCATGTGAGTCAGGTACAATTGTAACCATGCCATCCATGTTACTATATTTTTTTGTAATCAGTTTTACTTAAAATTCTGAATTACAAATGGAATCCACGGAAAAAGTTTTTCCTTCAATTGTCAAAGTCCATTTTGATTCAGCGCAAGTAGAAAGGAGTAAAACGTACTCCCAGATTCAAAGCCTTCGAAAGCCCCATTACAGATGGTTATCTACAGCTTGATGACAATTGAAACGGAAATTGCAGTCAATTATGACTCCATCTTTGGTGTGTCAGCATGCAATCTCCTTTGTTAAGGAAAAGAGAACTAGATATCACATATGTGGCTCTGAAAAGTTTGTTATAGTGGATTCTATGAACTATGTTCCGCCTCGCTCATTTTCAACGTAATATCACTTGATTATTGACCTCACATAAACGCCATCGTGATGAATAATATACCTAATTGTTTTCAACTATTGACCAAGCTATATGCAGGGAAGCATAGTGAAGAAGGGAAAGAGAAAAAGCTCACATTGTTCCAGCAATTCGGGTGCTGATATGAGTATTCTCCTCTTCATCAAGCTTAGCCAGACCAAAGTCTGATATCTTAGCATTTAGATATTTATCAAGCAGCACATTGGTAGCCTTTATGTCTCTGTGTACAATTTTCAACCTCGATTCCTCATGAAGATATGCCAAGCCCCTTGCTATTCCTAAGCATATCTTCTTTCTTGTGGGCCAGTCTAGATTTAGGCGCTGTTCTTCGCGACCTAAAAAAGAGAAGATCAAAAGAGATAGAGCGAGAACCCATAAATCATTTTTCACATGGATAAAATGTATAAAGGATGCCAGCAGACCAACGCACTTACCAAAAAGTGCACGGGCAAGACAATTGTTTTCCAAGTATTCGTATATCAGCAACAACTGGTTTCCTTCAATACAACAGCCATAAAGCCTCACAAGATTCGGGTGCTGCAAAGCAGAAATCATTCCTATCTCATTGACAAATTCGCGGTTGCCCTGCTTAGATTTGGCAGAGAGCTGTTTTACAGCAATTACTGCACCATCTGACAATGCACCCTACAAGCAAGAACAATAAGTTTCATAATGATTACTTGAAGGAACAAGAAAAGAGAATGAGATATCTGTGTGAAAATATTGTCTTCTACTTTTGAAAACATTTTCACATAGATGAATAAACAAACAAATGGCCCAAATGTTGGAAGTAATAGTGTTGACAGGTTGAGAATTTATTGTGAAAATAACATATTGCATCTGCAAGTAACTACCTTATAAACAGGCCCAAATCCTCCTTCACCAATCTTATTTGCAGGGTCAAAGTTATTAGTAGCAGCTTTGATCTGTCTGAGAGTAAAATAACCTGTCTGTAAGTCGAGCGCTCGAAGTTCTGTAATGAGGACAGAGATTAGAAACTGCTCAAAATTACAGAAATTATAACTAGTGTGTACAGTTTTGAGCAAGAATACTTCTCTTACTTTACCATCACATATTACTCAGTTGTGCATCAACAAGTAGAGGAATTTTTACCGTGCAAATGAAACATCCTATGTGTGGAAACATTTTTCATTGCTAGTCAGTACTGTACCAATGATACTATTGAGAGCCATTCCTTAGTAAGGACTACGTGGGTTCAATATTCAAGTTAGAATCAGTTTTACTGTGAAGNCCTTCAATTGTCAAAGTCCATTTTGATTCAGCGCAAGTAGAAAGGAGTAAAACGTACTCCCAGATTCAAAGCCTTCGAAAGCCCCATTACAGATGGTTATCTACAGCTTGATGACAATTGAAACGGAAATTGCAGTCAATTATGACTCCATCTTTGGTGTGTCAGCATGCAATCTCCTTTGTTAAGGAAAAGAGAACTAGATATCACATATGTGGCTCTGAAAAGTTTGTTATAGTGGATTCTATGAACTATGTTCCGCCTCGCTCATTTTCAACGTAATATCACTTGATTATTGACCTCACATAAACGCCATCGTGATGAATAATATACCTAATTGTTTTCAACTATTGACCAAGCTATATGCAGGGAAGCATAGTGAAGAAGGGAAAGAGAAAAAGCTCACATTGTTCCAGCAATTCGGGTGCTGATATGAGTATTCTCCTCTTCATCAAGCTTAGCCAGACCAAAGTCTGATATCTTAGCATTTAGATATTTATCAAGCAGCACATTGGTAGCCTTTATGTCTCTGTGTACAATTTTCAACCTCGATTCCTCATGAAGATATGCCAAGCCCCTTGCTATTCCTAAGCATATCTTCTTTCTTGTGGGCCAGTCTAGATTTAGGCGCTGTTCTTCGCGACCTAAAAAAGAGAAGATCAAAAGAGATAGAGCGAGAACCCATAAATCATTTTTCACATGGATAAAATGTATAAAGGATGCCAGCAGACCAACGCACTTACCAAAAAGTGCACGGGCAAGACAATTGTTTTCCAAGTATTCGTATATCAGCAACAACTGGTTTCCTTCAATACAACAGCCATAAAGCCTCACAAGATTCGGGTGCTGCAAAGCAGAAATCATTCCTATCTCATTGACAAATTCGCGGTTGCCCTGCTTAGATTTGGCAGAGAGCTGTTTTACAGCAATTACTGCACCATCTGACAATGCACCCTACAAGCAAGAACAATAAGTTTCATAATGATTACTTGAAGGAACAAGAAAAGAGAATGAGATATCTGTGTGAAAATATTGTCTTCTACTTTTGAAAACATTTTCACATAGATGAATAAACAAACAAATGGCCCAAATGTTGGAAGTAATAGTGTTGACAGGTTGAGAATTTATTGTGAAAATAACATATTGCATCTGCAAGTAACTACCTTATAAACAGGCCCAAATCCTCCTTCACCAATCTTATTTGCAGGGTCAAAGTTATTAGTAGCAGCTTTGATCTGTCTGAGAGTAAAATAACCTGTCTGTAAGTCGAGCGCTCGAAGTTCTGTAATGAGGACAGAGATTAGAAACTGCTCAAAATTACAGAAATTATAACTAGTGTGTACAGTTTTGAGCAAGAATACTTCTCTTACTTTACCATCACATATTACTCAGTTGTGCATCAACAAGTAGAGGAATTTTTACCGTGCAAATGAAACATCCTATGTGTGGAAACATTTTTCATTGCTAGTCAGTACTGTACCAATGATACTATTGAGAGCCATTCCTTAGTAAGGACTACGTGGGTTCAATATTCAAGTTAGAATCAGTTTTACTGTGAAGCTAGCTATAGTTTTGGCAGTTTATCCCCCCCCCCCCCAAAAAAAAACACACACACACACACACCCCAACTCAACCCAAAAGAAACATCTCTTCCCTCTCTCTCAGGGCAATCATCAATGTTACTTCTATGTAACTGCCTGCACATACCAAGTATCTGACCCTTATCTGGGACTTTTTCCGACACATGTATTAATGTTGTGTCTTCTAGCAGCTCAGATATCTGACCCCTTTTCCAATTAGTGTCCACACAAGCAAAACTGGCAATCAAACGAACTCGGATATGAAGTTTCTTGGATAAATTATATCTTACCTTTGTCTTCAATATCTGTTCCTCCTAGGTACCCTTTCATTCGGAGTACAGCTAAAATGAACACGAGAACCACACATGAAGCAATCACTATGCCAATAATAGCTCCAACAGAGAGCTCTGTATCCGGATCATAATCTACAAGAAGAGATAGATGTGTTCTAATGACAACGCAATATATGGAAAAGCTGAACAAGCTGAACATGCAAAATATGATATATACTTACTTGGTGTTATTGTAATAGCCGATATAAGAGGACCGTATACACCTCTGTCAGGAATAGCAGTAGTTCCCTTCCCTGCCCAGTACAAGTGGATCTCCAGAGTGCTACCATTGACAAAAATCTCATTGAATTCCATTGTGATGCCCTTCCCAACTCCATTAGCTTCCTCTGCAATATTAAAGTCCTTCAAAACTACATTCCCCTGCAACAGAAGTCATACATAATGAGGAATATAAAGTAAGAAAATTCTCAAGAAACAATATTCCAACAATGCTGCTCCATAATAAATAAGGTCGACAATTAAAGTCTACACAACTGGGCTCCTACTTACTTGGATTGATACATCAAAAATGCGCCTCCCAAGGCTGCTATATGTGTTGTCATCAGAATACTGTATTTCAGCAAAATGGAGGTGCACTCTGTAACTACCCTTCCTCAAGCAAAGGCCATAATATTTGAGTGAACTAGGGGCAAGGCGGGCTGTTTTATAGAAGTCTGCACCAGTCATATTCAATGAAAAAGAATTTGATGCAACATAATTAGCATCGTCGTTGTTCATAAACACCCCAGTGCTGCTGTAAGCCCATTTTTCTGCAGAAGCAAAAAAGTATGATGATCCTCTCGTGGTTAAGTCCTCTAGATATTCATTACCCTCAAATTTCATTTTGCTTCCCCCACAATTGATAAATAGGGAATGATCTGCACAAGCAATGGCAATCATGATGTAGGATACTTTCATAAAGGTCCATAGGCAGGGTAGAGTTGGAAACTGCAATATAACAGGAAATTCAAGATGCTTGCTATACTTACACTGGGGTTTTCTGGAGCAAGGGAGGTCCTTCCTCAAGCACCATGCAATTCTACAAAATAAACTTTACGTTAGGTCAAATGATTTTCATGTTGTTCAAACTATTTAATACTTAATGTCTTGATATGTGAGGATCTTACGTGTTGCTCACAGAAGATGAATGACTTGAAATTAAATTCCTGTCAGATATATAAAAGGATTTCTTAGTGATATGATCCTCTAATCGACACAGAAACCCATAAGGGAAAGATGCTTACACGCTAGAGGGCTGGCAACCAGATGGAGATGACAATGTAAAGTTGTTGTAAGATACATCACTGCAGTAAATATTGGCATGACATTTTTTATCAATTCCCAAAGGAAAATGAGAACTTGATTGTGATAGAGATCCAGCTTGACCGCATGAAGTTCCACAACAGATCACAACAGGAAAAAGTGTGATCGAACTTCGTCACAATCATTTCTGCCAAATAATAATAAAAACTTGGAGAATACTTACACGGACTGCTTGCTGTCCAGTATCCAACCAGGTACCTCTCCTGTTAGTGAGTTATTAGACAATAACCTACATCACAAGCAATACAGTAAGTTGCTTTTGCATATAGCTGCAAACTCTAAAGGACATAAAAAGGAACCAGCTTGGAAAACGACTACAAACTGCATAAAGCATTCAGATGCTCAGATATACAACTTCTTCCAAGTATACATACACATGATTTAGTTGCAAACTCTGAATTGTGGCTGGGATTTGACCAGTCAACCCATTGAAGCTCAGGTCTCTGCAAATAAAAAGTTCTTGTGAATCTGGATCACATAAAAAAAAATTAATTTGCATACCAATTATAAACTTACAAAGTTTTTAGGTCAGTCATTGTCCAAATGTATTCCGGTATAGGTCCAACAATCAAGCAATTTCTCAGGATCCTTTCCCACAAAAGAAACCACTTGACATGTCAACAGAACTGCAGTAAAACTCAATTTTCATGCTACCCGTAAAATATAAAAATATTCAACTCACAGTCTTTCCATGTTTTTCATGTCCTGTAAATCAGGGAAAAGCATGCTTGATCCATTCAAATCTGATATCCTCCTGACAATCAAAATCCATCAGAACAATTAATTTTGTTTATCCAGATTATCAGTGACCTTCTTTCTCTTCATTTTGGTTATGGCAAACTAGTAAATGAAACAGAGGAATACTAGAATGTCCAGGGGTGCTCACAACTCAGTTAAATTTTTCAATCTGGAAATGGTAGCAGGAATGGGTCCCTCCATTGATGTGCCTTGCAAGTCCCTTCAAGGAATCAAACAAAAAATTTGGTTCGAGATGCCATTAGGAATCAATAGGTTACATAAGAGATCTCAAAATTCTCCAAGTGAAAAGAAGATCGGATGATAGATCGACACAGAGGTACTTACAGTCTTTCAATTGCTGTCCAGTTCCCAATAAAATCAGGTATCTTCCCCATTAATCCATTCCCATCTATCCTACTGCAGTATTAGATAGAGTTTTAGAGATTTTCAAAAATTGAATATGGTACGTATATGGTAACTATGACTTACAAATCTTTTAAATTTGTAAGATTGCCAAAGCTGGGTGGTATCACTCCTGTGAAATTGTTTGCCGAAAGAAGGCTGCAAGAAACCGATCATCTGTGAATGATATTGAGCACTAAGGAGAAAAGAGGCAGCTATTTCTATGTCTATGCTTCAAAATACAGACGGAAATTTTCAACAGAGGTATGACCTTTTCAACAGGTCAAGCTAAAATGCAAAACAAGTGTACAATCAAAAAGAGGGAGAAAATCCTTGGTTTCTTTTTATTTTCTGGAATACATCACAAGCTATCATTGCAGTGAAGGCAGGCTTCGTATGTTTGAAATCTTCTGTTTTGAAACTTTGTTTTCCCTCTAACACTTAATACTGATGGAGAATATCTAGCTAAGTGAACAAATATAGCTGACACAAGTAATAGAAAAGAGCTAAATAATGAAGATAGAGGAGAATGCACATTATGCACTCTGCTCCTATATAATAACAAGCCTATCACCAACCACAGTGAGGAACAAAAACATATAGAGAAAAAGAAAAGGTCCAATTGCATCTTTTGGTTCACAAAGAAGGTTTAGGGCAGAAGGCATAGTGAGGTTAAGAGACTAATCATCAAATATTTACATCAATAGAATTTAGTTGTGCCCTATCCCTTACTGCTTTGCCAGCAAATGTATGACTTCATGACTTACAATGACCTCTGTCCACATAACCAATTATGATATTTCCACACCCATGCAGAGCCATCACACCATATGTAGTATTGAGCAGGAAAGTAATTTGACTATTCCAAATATGCAGACCAGTGGTTACCAGAATACATTTTAATTAAGCAAATAGTTTCAGAATGGTGGAGATATAGCTGCAGCCTAGTTTATTAAGCTTTATTAAATTTTTTATTTTTACCTTTTTATCTTTATTATAACTTTCATGGCTATATATATACGGGATTCTAGACTTAATTTATATCCCTTTTACTCACATTTATCACAAGTTGATATCAAAGCTAAACCCTATCCCTAACCCTACCCCTCCTCCACGTTGTCGCCATTACCACAGGCCAAACCAGTGACATCTTTCCCAGCGAAACAGCCCAGTCGACAAAACAGCCTACAACTCCATATAAACCAGCAAACCAGCACCCCCTGCCACCGACTGACCGCAAAACCAAGACAAAACCAAGATCCTTTTGCCCAAGCATCCACCGACCAGCGTAAAACTCAAAAAGACAAATCCCACCGACAGCCCAAGCATCCAAGCACCAAGTACATTACCTTCAGCCCGTTACACCAGACCCAATAAACCCAGCCAAAAAAAATAACTCACCGACTGCCAAGCAAAATAACGATAAACCCATATCGGTCCACCATCAAAACCGACTGCCCATACACCATACACCATCAAACCCAGCCGAACAGAACCGAACGACCCAAAGCCGATTGCAACCAACTCCAGCCGACAACTACTCCACTGCTCATTACCTTCAGCATCCAAGACCAGCCGAATAAAAAAAAAAAAAAACAGCCCAAGACCCAATAAACTCAGACCAGCCCACTGCTGTCCACCCTACTTATGTTCAGCTCACTATCGGAGGGCTTTGTCCTACGCATTCTTCGTCATAGTGTTGTCAAGTTACAGGATCGTATGACTTTTTAAGAGGGGTTGAATCTTCTTTTTCGTTGATATACTCTTGATGCAGTAGATCATTTATTTATATTTATTAGATTTCTGGGCACCGTGACTTAATTATTTGAGAGTTTTTTAGACATTCTTTATTTGTCGCTACTATTCAACTAGAGGTATATTATTCTCCCTTATTTTATCCCTCTATTTTTTAGAGTTGTTTTTTCTGTCACGGATACCCACGTATTATTATTGTCATGACTACTACTGAGGGACTAGAAACTCCTACCGTAGAGACCTCTACTGTTGAGGCTTCTATTAGTATTTCCACCGGGCATATACCGCCTGCTTCTCCTACTTTTATGTTTGACCAGTACATAGTACCTATTAGCACAGTTACTTTACCGGTAATGCCGGGAATGATCTGTCAGAAGGTTACGGCACAGTTGTTGAATGGTCGTAACTTTGTTGAGTGGTCACGTTCATTCCACCTTTTCTTGGGCCATGTCGGAAAATTTGGTTAGCTGATGGGATCTCACCCAAAGTCAGTTGATGTTGACCTTGGATATTCTGTGTGGTTCTCTGAGAACTGCGCTATTCTTGGATGGTTATTTGGCTCGATGGAGCCATCTGTTTGCAAGATACACCAATTTCATAACTCTGTTCCAAAATTATAGAACACATTATCAGAAATGTATTCCCAGTCAAGACGGGGAGTTCGGGTTTATGAGCTTTCTCAGGGTTCTCATATGTTCGGTAGGGAGATATGACTGTTCAGGATTATTATAACTATTTGACCCAGCGCTGACTTAAGTATGAGATTCTACGTCCTCTTGCTGCTATTCCGAGGATAGAGCCCGAGGGAGCAGCATTCTTGCATACTCGAGAGCAGAAGGATAGGATTCACAAGTTCCTTATGGGGCTTCGTGATGAGTTTGAGGGACCTCGTTCCCAGATCTTATCGATGTTGACACTTCCTTCTCTTTATGAGGTGTATACGATGATTGAGCAGCATGAACGCCGCGTCCATATTGCATCACTTTTAGTTGCGGCCTTGACTCCTCTAGCTGATCATATGACCCTTGCAGCAATTGCAGGGTCTCGTTCAGGATCCTCAATCAGGGGTGGGCAGCGCTCGGACTAGTGCCATCAGGGTGTCCCAGATCAGCGCAGACAGGGGGATTCTCGTCAGTGTGATTATTGTGGCCGATCAAGACATCTCAGGGCTGCTTGGTGGAAGCTCCATCCAGAACTTAAGTTGCCTCCTCGTGGTTTCGTATTGTTGAGGTACCACTATCTACTACCGCTACTCCTACTACTGTTCCTCCTTGGCAGAGTGATATGGATGCTATCACTTCCCGATTGGATATACTTATGTCCGCTCTGACTTCTCAGAATCCGACTACTACTACGGCCACCACTACAGGTAAACCTCGTGCCTTTCATGCTTGTGCCAGTCTGTCTTCTCTTTGGATGTTAGACTCGGGTGCAAATGGTCACATGATAGGTGAGACACATCACTTCACCACTTTTGACGAACAGTTACATACACAAGTTCAATTAGCAGATGGGACACATGCCCTTATTGATAGTAAGGGTACAGTCTGCCTCCCAAATGCCTTTACATTACGTTCGATTTTTCATGCGCCAAAGTTGACCATGAATCTATTATCTATACATCAGTTAGCCAGAGATTTTCACTGTGCGGTTGTGTTCTTATCTGATTCGTGTTATTTGCAGGACCTGAGTACCAGGAGGATTATTATCAGGAGACATGAGAGAGATGAACTGTATTTTCTAGGCGATCTGCCTCCAGTTTCACCAGTTCCTCCACCTATATCACCTGCATCTGTTTTATCTTTATCTGTTCCTAGCTTGCATACTAGTATTTTACCTAGTAATTGTTATTATGATTTTTTGTCACAAACTGTTCAGTTGTGACATGATTGTTTTGGACATATAAATTTTAAATATTTATGTATGTTGTTTCTTGCTTTGAACAATGCTTGTGTTGGTGGTAAACTTGACTATGTTATATGTTCCCTATCAAAACATGTTAGGACCAGTTATATTCCTCGCATGCACTAGTCACCTAAGTCATTTGACCTAATACATTATGATATTTGAGAACCTTCTCCTGTTACTGCTCTATTAGGTGCCCGATACTATGAGACATTTATAGATGACCATACCCGTTGCACTTGGGTCTACCTTTTACATAGGAAGTCCGATGTACTCCCTATAATCACTCAATTTTTACAGATGATTAAGACACAATTCGATGTTATTGTTCGTGCTCTTCGTTCTGATAATGCCAAGGAATATGTGTCTGATACCTAAATGTCTCACATTTCTTCTCAAGGTATCCTTCAGCAACTCACTTGTCCATATACTCCTGAGCAAAATGGCGTTGCTGAAAGGAAAAATAGGAGTCTGATAGGGATGATACGTTGTATGCTTAGAGGCATGGGGGTACCAAAATCTTATTGATATTTTGTTATTTTGACTTTTACCTTTCTGTGCAATCGTACGCCGAGTCGTGTTCTTCTGCATAGGACTCTCTTACAGGTTTTATTTCCTAAGCGAACACTTTTTTTGATCCTCCCTCGTGTTTTTGGATGCACATATTTTGTTCAGGATCGGTCTTCTACTCGTTATAAGCTTAGTGATAAAGCAATTCATTTTGTCTTTGTGGGATATTGCAATCAGAGTCACCCGCCTCTCTTCCTTTGCAGGTTTATGTTCGTCGCCCTCACTCTCATCCCCTGTTGATGTCTCATTTACCTCAGGCGATGCAAGTAATACTTCTCAGTTTGTTGAGCATATTGATGCACTTGTTGTTAGTACTGATGAGATTGCAGGTACTGAGCCAGTTGTTTTACCTGATGAGACATTATCAGTGGAGGATGATGATTTAGAGCGTCGTTATCCGCAGCGTGATCGTCGTCCAGTTGTTCGTTATGGCTGGACTGCCAAGATTTTATATCCGATCTTTGTTTATGTTTCTTATGGGTGATCTGTCTCCTACATTTCGGGCTTATAGTATGACCTTATCAGATACGCCGGTTCCTTGCTCTATTTCAGAGGCTATGCAGGAGCCCTAGTGGGTTCTTGCCATGCGGACAGAGATGGACGCTCTTCAGCGTAATCATATGTGGGATCTTGTCTCTTTACCTTTGGGAGTGAAGCCTATTGGCTGTCGATGGGTTTACACCCTGAAGTTTCTTGTGGATGGTACTATTGATCGTCACAAGGCTAGGCTTATGGCGAAGGGCTTTACTCAGGTACTAGGTCGTGATTTTGATGCTACCTTTGCCCCCGTGACAAAATTGACTACTGTTCGACTGATTATTTCTCTGACTGTGGAGTACTCTTGACATCTTCATCAGTTAGATGTGAAGAATGCATTTCTTCACGGTAATCTGGACGAGATTATTTATATGGATGCACCACCGGACTTTCGTGGTGAAGGAGAGTATGCTGGAAAGATATGTCGACTGCATAAGTCTCTTTATGGACTGAAACAGTCACGACGAGCCTGGTTCTCTCGCTTTGGTGATGTAGTTATATGTTTAGGGTTCACCAGATGTCATTCTGATCATACCTCCTTTATTCGACGGAATATTTCTGAACAGTGTGTCATCCTTTTGGTATATGTTGATGATATTATTATTACTGGAGATGATGTTTCTGGGACTATACAGGTCAAGGTAGACCTTGGGAAGCCTTCGATGTGAAGAACCTTAGATTTCTGCGATACTTTTTTGGAATTGAGGTTGCTCGTAGCAGCAGAGGTATTATTCTTTCTCAGAAAAAGTATATTTTGGATCTTCTCTCAGACACTGGGATGTTGATGTGCAAACCAGCATCATCACCTATGATTCCAAACCTGAAGCTTACTGCTGAAGGTGAGGAGTTGAGAGATCCGTTTATCTATCAAAAGTTGGTAGATAAACTTATCTACCTAGCCAACACTAGGCTAGACATTTCATTCGCTGTCAGCCAAGTTAGTCGGTTTATGCACAGACCATATCCGCCTCATCTTGTTTCAGTTACCACCGGACTTTCGTGGTGAAGGAGAGTATTCAGCTTGCTTCTGACTCTGTATTACACGAGAGAACGAAACATATAAAAATCGATGTTCACTTTTTTTGGGAGAAGGTTAACAGTGGTATTGTCACTCCATCGTTTGTGAGGACTAGTGATCAGGTTGCAAATATTTTTACCAAATATGTCACTCTATCCATTCTTCGGGATTCTGTTGTCAAGCTTGACTTAGTTGACATTTTTGCGCCTAGCTTGAGGGAGAGTGTTGGAGATATAGTAGCAGCCTAATTTATTAAGACTTATTAAGTTTTTTATTTATTAAGAATCAGTCTCAGAAAAAGCATATTCTGGATCTTCTCTCAGACACTGGGATGTTGAGGTGCAAACCAGCATCATCACCTATGATTCCAAACCTGAAGCTTACTGCTGAAGGTGAGGAGTTGAGAGATCCGTCTATCTATCAAAAGTTGGTAGATAGACTTATCTACCTAGCCAACACTAGGCTAGACATTTCATTCGCTGTCAGCCGAGTTAGTCGGTTTATGCACAGACCATATCCGCCTCATTTTGTTTCAGTTATCATATTCTTCGGTACCTCAAGTCTTATCTTGGATTTGGGTTGTTCTATGTATTAGCATCTCAAACTGATTCTCTACCTTGTTATTCAGATTTAGATTATGGGGGAACATGTGACGGTCGATCTACTACAGGTTTCTGTGCTTTTCGAGGGACTTATCTTATCTCCTTAAAGAGCAAAAAGCAGTCAGTTGTCTCTCGCTCGTTAGCAAAGGCAAAGTATCGGGCACTGACACTTGACACATGTGAGATTATCTAGCTAGAATTGATTCTTGTCTGAGTTGGGATTTTTAGTGACTTCTTCATCTACATTATATTGTGATAATCGATCTGCTATTCAGCTTGCTTCTGACTCTGTATTACACGAGAGAACGAAGCAGATAAAAATCGATGTTCACTTTTTTTGAGAGAAGGTTAACAGTGGTATTGTCACTCCATCGTTTGTGAGGACTAGTGATCAGGTTGCAAATATTTTTACCAAACCTGTCACTCTATCCATTCTTCGGGATTCTGTTGTTAAGTTTGACTTAGTTGACATTTTTGCGCCTAGCTTGAGGGAGAGTGTTGGAGATATAGTAGCAGCCTAATTTATTAAGACTTATTAAGTTTTTTATTTTTACCTTTTTATCCTTATTGTAACTTTCATTGGCTATATATATGAGGCTGTACACTTAATTTGTATCCCTTTTACTCACATTTATCTCAAGTCAAAACAAGAAGGATTAGTTAAAATACAAAAGAGAAGCAGTAATCTTACAGTCTTCTCAAGCGTCTCAAACTTCCCAGGTTTTGATGAAGAGTTCCTCCAAGCTGATTGTCTTCCAAAATCCTGGATGATACAACTTACATATGAAAATGATATGTTTCATGCATTGCTTCAATAAATACCTATATCACTTTACTTACAGCTCCTCAAGTGTAGCAATATCACCTATTTCCGGGGGAATCGAACCGCTGATGCGGTTTCCTAGAAGGGACCTGGAGTAAGACAACACCTTAAGTATATCCAAGTCATAAAGTCCCTTGCATTTCCAAGAAATAAAAGAAGATAAACTTACAGAGTGGTGAGATTAAGCCGACCAAAAGTCGCGGGTATTGATCCACTAATATAGTTGCGGCTAAGATCTCTGTGCCAATAAAAGAAGCCTGACTTAATCTTCGATTTCCATTGGTGATTAAACACAAAAGTGTGTTTTTTCAAAATATACTTCACATCAACCAGGTTGTTTATTTTTCATTGAAATTCCGATTTTGAGTTCCCATCATGATTGAATCATTTTTCTTAAAGATCTTCAGATAAATGCAACTTAATAAGAAAGGAACTAAAACAATAAAATGACAACATCAGAAGAACCATCAAACAAACTCCAAAATGCCCTTTATTTGTCAAAGTAAGCAAGTAGACTCTTATTGAGTAGAATCAAAAAATAAGTAATTGAATAAATGGAAACAAGGAGTAACAGCTATTCAATTGAATTCTCAATCTTGAAGTCATAAAAGATGTCACTTACAATTCTAGCAGATAACTAAGATTTGAGAATTCTTCTGGCAGAACTCCGGTCAAATTAAATTCCTTTAGCAGGCTGCAAAGAAACAAAAGTTAACCCTAGAAAATAAATAAATATATAGAAAATCAAATTGTGGTAAGAGGAGTTCGTGTCAATTTACGCACAACTAATCTCCTCCTCGGTCTAGTAATAGGCAAGTCATCCTCACCAGATATAGAGAATTCATAAGAGATTTAAATTACAGCTCATTTTTGTGTCTCTACTAATTACTCCTTGGGGGTTGTATGTTGTATGCGTCCAAAATAGGAAAAGGTGAATAGGAAAATGAGGACATACATTCTTGTAACATGGCAAACAGAATTGTCGCTAAATGTGCAATCGCAAGTAACATTGCTAATAAAACCGCCGGCAATGGTCCCATTCAAACCACCCGAGCTGCAAGAACTTCGGCTTACATTCCAATATCTATTCTGTAGCTTTGAGGATATCGTTTCAAGAGCTCGTACTGTGACAGGGAAGACATGTGAAAATTTGTTAGAGCAGCTCCAAGAAAATAGCTAAAACTCTAAAATAATTAAAATTTAATTATTCATGGAGAAAAATCATGCTCCACCGGAAGATGTTCTAAAATATATTTTTGCTACATTGATGCTCTGTATTTTGAGTATCACTGTAACATTATGTATAAATATTTCATATTATATTCTCTCTCCTTTTATCATTTCTCACCTTTCTTGTTCGCTCTTTATCTTTCCCTCTACTTTTTCTACCTCCATTTAATGGTCCCAACAAAGGTACAACGTATGAGAAATAATATTTCCGTTAGAGTATGTATTAAAAAAATGAATAGTTAAAATAGAAAAAGTGTACTTTTGGATAATTAAAATACAAAACCTACTCTTAGCATTAATAAATAACAAGGAACAAACAGTTAAGAAAACAAGGAATAACCATCTCATCAAATTTTTTTTTGGGTGCATGAATTTGAATCTCTAAGAAACATTTATTTCTATTTTAGAAAATGCTAGACAAATCTAATCAAATATAACAATTGAATTAAAAATAGACTCCACCTAAACTGAAACTCACAACTTATTCAATAATTATATCGTTGACTCAGGTTATGCTCTTCTATTTTTTGAAAATATTCAAACCATTATCATAATTATTTTTTTTATGGCCAATTTCATGATGATAATTTAATATCACAAATATGAGCCAACTTCCTTTTTATTTCAAAAAATTGATATGCGAATCGGTCACGACGTTGTCCCTCAATACCTCTATAATAACCACCTGCAAGAAATCCCACAACACTTACGTCGGGACCGAAACGAATGTTTTGATCGCCGAAAAATAATTTTAATTTCACCAAACTGTCACAATTATGAAAACTCGAACTCAATTATTAAGCCAAAAAATCTAAATACCCACTGAATCAATCAATCGGTGGTAATCAATCGCAACTTCTTGAAGCAAAACGTAGATGACAAAAGAACACACATGACCACGCTTTTTCTTCGTGTTTTGAATCAAAGTTACGTAACATTTAACCCAAAAGTATGACTAATGCTACATAGACTTAAAAAATAGACTTAAAAATTAGACTTGATAATCTCAACCATTGAATAGGTAGTAGGTCCCAATAAATGCAGGGATCCACAGTGAAATCAATGGTTGAGATTATCAAGTCTAATTTTTAAGTTTAGTTTTTAAGTCCATGTAGCATTATTTCAAAAGTATATATATAAAAAAATGAATAACTTGTGAATAGAATAGTCAAACTGGTTGACCCTAACACATTTATTTGGTCTAACCTTACACGCATGTTATGTTGTAAAAAATGAGTAATATTATTTAAAGCTAATTTGTTAATTTAATTTTTCTCGGTTATTAGATTGATGTTAAATTTTATTATTAATTGAGATTTATTATTAATTTAATGGATACCATATATTATGTCAACAAATAAAATTAATAAATAATGTCAAATAACATTTTCCAGTCAACCACATCTCAATTAGTTGTAAAATATTCAATCATTGTGGCATGTGAAAGGCAGTAGATGGTAGTCAATCATTCCACGGCATGATGTCACGGATATTAATATCCTTCCAGCTCAACAACAATAATTGGAGCAATGCTATAAAATTTAAATAAATTTATAACTTAATTACATATAATCTCTTACATGATGAGTCTTATCAATTTTTTTTAATGGGATCCATTCATCCCAGACTCAAAAATGATATGTATTTCAGTTTCATTTGAATTATATAACATTTTCATAATTATAGTGGCAGATTAAGATGACTGAAAATGAAAGGATTTGGATTGCTATGCAATAAATTCAGAGATTAAAGCAAAAATTCGAGAAAGAACCCAAAAAAATTAAAAGAAAATTAACCGAAAATTTTAAAATCCTCTAGACAATTTTGAGTAACATCATCGACATTAGTTCTTGCCTCCAATGAATATATGATTAATGGGTGTCTTTAGAAAAAATATATAACTACCGGCAAACAATCGAAAACTGGTCATGCTAATAAGATTTTTTTGGTTGATGATCAGGGGTGTTTACATCAACTTACACGTATCTTGATTAATTTTTTTTCTAATTCAATGAAAGACAAGTCATTCATGTTAAGATTATAACCATGAGAGATAAATCTATCAAGAACTGACTCAAAAAAAATGTCAAAATTTAAATTTAAAACATTATGAGTTTACGGCCCATATTCTGCCACAAATTTCATCAATTAAGGCAAAATGATATTTTTTTATTTATTTTTTGTTTTGGGTGTTAATTTGCAAACCATATAAAGGAGAACCAATAACATATTTAACAACAAATACAAACTACAATCTCCATAATTAAAGGAAAACCCAAGTTGCAAGAAGAATCTTGACTACTGTGAAACGTTAATTAATCTGTTATTAATTAATACGAACATAGATAAACGTTCAATGAGTACTAATTGAATATAAAAATAAGGTACCGAAAATATGAGCAATAGTGACTGAGGTTTGGACCGTACGTACCTTCTTCTTCAGGCAAAAGTTGAGCGACAGATCTAAACTCAGTGTAGCAATTCAAAACCACAAATTCAAACAGAAGAAGAGCGAAGATTTTCTTCGAAATCATTGTTCTAGTAAAAAGCTACTCCATCGACTTCGACAAACCTCTCCGTTCGACTCCGGCGAAGAAATAACTCGCTAGATACGCTATAACGGCTTTCTTCCCAACGTCAATAGATGATACAATAATTAAACTCAGATTACACGGAGAGAGAGAGAGAGTAAAATAAGATTACTGTAGAAAATAACTGAGAAGAAAGCACATAAATGGAAGTTTGATTATGGGGGAGAGAATGGAAATGGTGGTTGGGAGGCTTGTGGTAAAGGCGGGAAAGAAAGTGTTATATGAAGTAAGTTTTAGAGAGAGGGAGACGCGGCTTGAGAGCGAGGGGGGGGGGGGGGCAGGTTTGAAAAGGTCAGTTTCCAAAAGAGGGCGATTGAAAGATCAAAATCAAAAAGTAAGAGGGCAGTTAGTAAAGTTTTGTCGGCAGAATATAAAACCTACGACTACTATTTACATTCCACGTCGCCGGCGTTGCCTTTCGTTTTTGACGTCGGCTTTGTCCACACGGTCTTTGGTTGCATTCATTGCTGACAAAATTTCAAGTACAATCCCTAATGAGGTATTGTGTTGAATAAAAATATGAGACTATGGAGCTCGGTCGTCTAGTGATATAGATAACATCTCATAAGTATCATTTTAGTAATAATCATAATCATCATGTTTAATTTGCAACGTAGATCGGTGATTTACTATCAGTGACTTGGTGCGATTGTGATCAAGCAATGATTCTAATTGGTTTTAGGGAGCTCCTGTAGGACTATTTCTTGAGTTCAAACTGTTATGGTCACGTGCAAATAGGGTTTTTATATCGATTATCTCGTTGCTACCCTTTTTTGATAAGCAAAAAAAATGAGGAGCTATCAAATATTTTGTAACATAAGAGTAACTTCAACCGGATTGCCAAATCTCAATTGGATAATTTCAACATCCCCTCTTTGACAATCTCTCCTCCTCCGACGGCTACACTAAATATTGATCGGGTAAACTAGTGACATACTGCCAAATTTGACGTATCTCTCATCTCTCATACCAAATTCAATATTTATTGAATAAGTATTGTTAAAAATTATTTTCATATATCAGATGAAGTGTAAGGTGAATATGTTAAATGATATATGTCGAATTGTCACATAAGCCTTCAAATTCAAATTTGGCGTGTAACATTTGACATGCTCTAATACTATCATTAACCTAAACATAAAATTGATATGAAATTATTAAATATAGATCTAATGTCACTGAATTTAAATTATATTGAAACTCGTATATTAAATAGGTTAGCTCAAACCTATATGAACATAATATCAACTTAATGTACATGACTTTACGCGACACAAACACAATAGAGTACAAATTCGACTAGAATAGTTATAAATAATCTAAACATCTTAAAAGTTGGACTATGTTTTGGTTATCTTGGGCTCATTCAAATTACGAAATGAATTACAGTTACTAATGAATTTCTGTAACTCGTTTCTTATACTAGTTGAATCAATGTTCAGCTTGTGTTGGTATCGTACCGTTATTATAAATTTTGTCAATTTTTTTTTATAATTTTTGAAGATCATTTTATAATTCTTGTGATAATAATTTGTGATTGTAAGTTATTACAAAAATTATACCTTGAATAAAAAAAATTGTAATTCAAACCTTAAAAGCTATAACTTGAATTAAAATATTTTAATTTTTTTTTATTATAAAACAAATTGCAAAAATCTTATTAAAATTCACAAAAATTATAAAAATTAGAGACATCGTAGTTTTGTTCGACAATCAAACAATCAAAGGTTTTAGCGGCACAAATAGTCAAATACCCAGATATTCTCTCCTCAGGATTCTTGTGATATGACTTTAGGACATGTCAACGATATCAAAAAATTTTTGAGATAATTACGCTCCGACACCTTGAGTTATTTAATTATTTAGATTTTCTTGTATTTAAATTATTATATACAAATTCTTTGAGATTTGTATACACATAATACTTATGCTCCGTTTGAAATAATAAAAAAGTGGGAGGATAGAAAGTTTAAAGGATAAAAAAAATATCATGTTTGGTAAATAAAGAAAGTAGGAAGGATAAAAAAGTTGATAGATTAACTTTCCTTCTAACTCACCAAAATCAATCCCTCCAAAATCGGATGAAAAGTTAATTATTTGTGTTGATATGTATTTTATTTGTCTATATATCTTATGTATATATTAATTTCATATAAAAATACAATAGTAAAATATGTATATATATTTTAAAAAATTTAAAAAAAATTTAGATTAAAAAAAATATTTTTTCCATCTTAACTAAGGGTGAAAATTTTAAAATCTACACGATGACACGACTTGAACTTGATAAGAAAATAAACAAGTCAATTCGCAACTCGACACGACACAATTAGTTAAATGAGTTAAGTTAGATTTGACTAATATTCGTACAAATTCGTAATGACTTAACACGAATTTGACACGACACGACTCGACTCGATTGTCACCCTTAATCTTAGCTAGGACAAAAAAAAAATTAAAAAAAATAGTTATTTTTATTTTTCATCCATCCAATTAAACACAAAGGCAGTAAAATGTATAATTCTTACTTTTCATCTTTGAATGATAGAAAATGTATCTCTCCTACTTTCTATCCTTCCTACCAAACGGAGCATTAGACTCTCAAGTTTAAAATGTTATACTTAGATAAAAAAATACTTCAATTAAAGATAGAATATCAAATATTTTAAATTTTATATTTGATTAGAGTATTTTTTATTTACGTATAATATTTTAAATTTGAGGGGTCTAACTATTATACAACTACAAATTTCAGAGGATTTGAGTGTAATTTACTAATAGACATACCAACGGTAAAGGATCTAATTGTGATACACGTACAAACTTCAGAAAGTCTGTATATAATATTTTAAATATCAAGAGATGTCAGTGATTAAGTGATAACTCTGAATATAATTCTCTCAAGTCTTTGTTAGTACAATATCCTAAAATATAATTTTTAAAGATTAATTATTCAAATATTTTTAGAATTGATCATAATATTTTTCACTTAAATTTGATTTGAAAAAAATTAGAACTTAACCCATAAAATTATTATTTATGGTACGATAACTATTTGTTTGCAGTTGTGATTAGGTCTATCAATTATATTGAGCGAAGAGGGTTAATATTAAAAAATATTTCACTCATTCCTAATTTGATTATTAATTCATGCATAAAAATTTTGGTCATATAAAATTTATATTGAATATAAATTATATATAACTAATATATAAGTAAATTGTGTCGTCTGGAGCGTTATGAATTGACAAAGATTATGCCATCTGGAGTGTTATGAATTGCACTTTGTCTCTATCTCGAATTGAACGGATCAAATTTCATCTATATCTCAATTGGGACAACGTGGCGGGTTATGGATTAAGACATTTGGACAAGACTTGCCCAAAAAAATCTTAAGGTTCAACGAATTCATGTGTGTATGATGTCTCATTCCATATTAGTACAAACAGTCAATCACATTCCTTTTATTTGTTTTTCAAATGTGGGACCATCTCTCTTTGTTGGGTTTATTATTATTATTATTATTGACAAATTATACCATTAGTTTCAATTCAACCGTGCATTAAACTAAATTTTGCATGTATTGAAACTTTCAATGATCCCCTTTTGATAAACCACGTGTCGATTAAATGTTCAATTGCGTAACGTACGTCATGAATTATTAATATTATAAATTTTCATACATTATGTTATTGGGTACCATATTCTTCCTCTTATTATTTTCCAAACTAATTGATCCGATAGCACATTATTTTTTTTTGGCTTAATTAGTTAAATCAAGTGTTGTAATAACAACAATAAAAAATTAATTTTTTATGAATTCAAATTTTTTTGTTCAATGTTAAGTTCGAAATTCCATAATTACAATAATTTAATTGGATTAAATTTATTTTTTATTATTTAAAATATATAGTGAAATTTTAATTTTGACCCCAAAATAATGAGATTTTTTACAAATAATTGTGTGATACTCAAAAAACCAATATTCTCTAGATAATAGAAGTATCGTACCAATTTTGAGTAACGTGGACAGATCTTTAAAAGAATCATGTTTTTGACAGACATCAAATCATAGTAAAAAACATTCAGCTTTAATGCAGGGCTGACCATTGAAAATTCCAATGATTAATTAAAAAGCATATATCCTTTGCAAAAGCAAATCGGTCTAAAGTGAGAGTACTGACTATTCAAAACCCTTGGATTTTTTTTCATATGGGCTTAATGTTGATAACTTTGCTTAGGTTCACGCCGATTCACCCACGTAGAAAATAGTATGGAACAATAATGTAGGGGTGTTCACATTTTCCTATAGATAGAAAATATAATTTTTTATTTTTCTATTCGATACTTTGTAAAATAATTTTTTCTTTGTCTGTCCTACCCGATCAGATGTGGTATTCCTACGCGACTTCCTACCTAGGGTAGGAAGTCGAGTAAATACTTGTGTAGTTATTAATTTTTGGATCATTTTAACAATTCAATTAAATAACATACACCAAATTAACAACACAATAAATCAATAACACTAAAACATAAAACAACTACAACAACAATTACAATAAAACATAAGAAAGAAGGAACGTCAATCCATCATAATTGTTACATAAATACAATAACAATTATTTTAAATTTAAACTATATGAAACACATTAAAATCATAACTACTCCAATAGATAACTAATTCACCACAAATCATGTAACCTGCGAAAAAACAAGTGTATGTTTTTGCAACTCAAACATCTACAACAATGACAATATTATAATATAAATTATATCACACAAATACTCTTATACTTACTTAAAAAAATATAAAAAAATTAAATATATTTTTTGCAGATAGAGTAGGGTAGGAATGCGAAAATTGATCCACATTCCTACCCGATTTAATCGAAAGACCAAAATTTTTTCTGTATTCTTACTCGATTTTTGCGACTAGCCGTTCA